CCCCCCCCCCCCCCCCCCACACACACACAAACACACTAATTGTCCAGCGGACGAGAAAGTGCCGTTTAATTCGAAATCATTATTTTGACGAGTGCCTGATTTCACGACGATAATACACATACGAACTAGATATAATATGGTCGCTTTTAAGGACAAGCGGTCTAACCCAGACTTTGGGGGTTTCCAGAAATCTTGACCTGCACCAAAAGTGGGCGTTGCTCTACCTATAGGACAAGTTCGGTTTCATTGGTGTGTATATTTGTTTGGTTATAGAAAAAACTCTCCTTGTCTTTTAAAGAAACTGAACATGGGTACAAAAGCTTTACCTACGATTATCTCAAAACAGCATTTTCCGGGATAGCCCCTTGTGCTTAAAAGGGACAAATTAGCCCCTTTAAGCCTCTTCAGAATTGATGAAAGGAATATTTTTACAAACCAAAAAGTTCAAATATTTACGGTTTCATAAGCACTGTTCCCTTTTACTCTAGTTCTTGCTGTACACGGTGCCCATATCCTTAGTTTTTACCTAAATAGTTATCTTTTTTCCCCAATCAATGTGATTTGCAAAGTCGTGCTCTACAAAACGTACTCTTTTCTTCAACTTCTATTTTCATGAATAGTCTAATCACTACTAATCTAGATCTAGAATGTAAATTTTACCTGGCCTAAGATCTTTGGATTATTCATCTTTTTGTCTTGCCCGAAAACCATTTGAACCTAAACCTATTTCTTAGTATTTTATATTGACACGACACGTGGAATCAGGCGCTCGTCAGTTTTGGGGAACAAAGTTATTGATATAATCTTAATATGTGAGGCAGCGTGGTGGAATCAGGCTCTCGTCAATTTTTGAGCATGTAGAGTTATTTTTATCATCTTAAAGCTTGTTCACCTGTCTTTATTTGGTTGAAAAAAATATCCATTTATCTTGAATACAAGTCGAGATATTTGTGGTCACCTGTTTTCAGAGGTAAAATTAGTGAGAAAATGGCCGCCAAAGGTTAGTTATTTCCTTGCTTAAGAGTCCGTCGTAACTGAAAATTTACATTTTTGTGTGCATTTAATCAACGTTTTAAAGAAAAATCCCCACAGAAATGAGTTCTTTAATGAGCATGAAAGGTGTTAAGCCAAAAAACAACAACAAAATTTTGATAAAAATTCACAAACATGCAGAAAAATGCAATTTCTTCACTTTTATTATTTTGACGAGAGCCTGATTCCATCACGCTGCCTCACATAATATACTTAAAGCCAGTTCATTTGCCTGTCTTTTGAAGTCGATATATTTGCAATTGAAGGAGGTTGGGGTCACCTGCGCAGTGTTAAAAGCAAAATTAAAGAGAACATTTTAACGGTTATCAAAATTTGGTGACTTCCAAAGCTTGAGAGTCCTTGGAAACGACACATTTACTCATCATCATCATCATCATCATCATCATCATCATCATCATCATCATCATCATTGTATAAAGAAAGTATTAAAACACTTAAGACTTTGTTGTGTCATCATCATCATCATCATCATCATCATCATCATCATCATCATCATCATCATCATCATCATCATCATCATCATCATCATCATCATCGTCGTCGTTGTCATCATTACCAGAACCACCGACAACAATTCTACAAACAACAAGAATAGCTGAAACAACAACAAGAACGACAACAACAGCAACAACAACAACAACAACAACAACAACAACAACAACAACGCCAACAACAACAGCAACAACAACAACGCCAACAGCTGAGACAACAAAAATTGCAATAGACGCAACACAAACAGCAAACAACGACAAATAAGACAACAACCAAAATCAAAACCAAAACCAAAAGTAAAACAAAAACCAAAGCCAAAAACCAAAAAAAAACCAAAAACCCCCCAGCTCTACCTCAGTTTCCAACGACCACAGTCCATCCAGGTCGCCTTACGACACTCGGAAAAACACGGCAAGGACAACGCGCAATTCAGTCTGGAGACTGACCTCTGTCCACTAAACAATAGCAACAGGAACTGTCTTATTCTGAAGATTCTTCAACGGCTCGCCCATCGCTAATGCATCTGAAATGACATTTGACTATGGAAGACCACCATCTCTGTATCAATGAAGTATGGAACTCCGGTTTACCACTCTTTCCAAAAGGCAACAATTTCTCGGTTTCATAGTATAGGGAAACACATAGTCAACTACAGAACAGAAAGTTACTGAGTAAGTCTGCACCTGCCTCCTTAAAAAGAAAAGACAACGTTTATAAGCATTTTTGTTATCTATTTCATCGGTTCGCCTCATACTCTCCTCCCCCTGCCAGCCGCTTGATAACGAAGAAACACGGTAAAATAAACAAGTTATAATTAAACGAAACCGACATGAAAGCATGTCATGATGGCTAAAAACCCCCCCCAAAGAAAACCTCAACTAAAACAAACCAATAAAAAGAACTTAAAAAAAAAACAACCGAAGGCAAAACAACCCCCTCAATGTTGCCCCCCCCCCCCCCCCCCCAAAAAAACAACAACAATAAAAAGAAAAGTTAATGGGAAGAAATCGAAGAAATAATAAAGCTACTTTCCACCTGAAGCCCCCCCCCCAGAAACCCCCCCCCCAGAGTAACAAATCAACCCCAGAAATTCAAATACAGGCGGGTCGGGGGGAAAAAGAACACACAAATTTTTGTACGTTGATGACGATTTCAAAAAGTAAAAAAAAAGTAGTTTGGAAGGGTGTTTTCCGGGAAAAAACCCGGTTCCAGGCAAAAAAAGAAATAAAACGTCTGGTCTCTTTTGAACAAGGGAGCGTAAGAGAGGCCTTAGGCGAAGAAAATAAAGGTCTTCCCCCCCTCTAGCCGCGGCTGAAACAAGGGAAAAAAGTTAGACGTGATAAGAAGAGTTGGGGTGAGAGAGAGAGAGAGAGAGAGAGAGATAGAGACAGAGAGAGAGACAGAGAGACACACACACACACACACACACAGAGAGAGAGATAGAGACAGAGAGAGAGACAGAGAGAGACACAGAGAGAGAGAGAGAGAAAGAGAGACAGAGAGACAGAGAGAGATAGAGACAGAGAGAGAGACAGAGAGAGACACAGAGAGAGAGAGAGACAGAGAGACAGAGAGACACAGAGAGACAGAGAGACACAGAGACAGAGAGAGACAGAGAGACAGAGAGAGACAGAGAGAGACAGAGAGAGACAGAGAGAGAGAGAGATAATGTTTTAAGAATGGGTTGTTTCAGCACGTGAGGAATGTACTAATGTCCTGTCTTGTTGTGCGTATGCATGAGTGCACCTAACATTTGCAATGTATACATGTACTGCCATTGCTATCGACCAAGACAAATTTCTCCCTGCAAGAGGAATGAAGATTGTCATTTTCATTTTTATTGTCATTGCCATTGTCATTGTAAAAAAAACCCAACCCAACCCGAACCATAGGCTGGTGTGCTATTTCTGAACAAGTTGCAGGAAATCTTGACACTAGGTCGTATTTTGTCTAGCAGGTTTGTATATAGTATGAAGTTTATTCTATGTTTTGGCTTCAGACATACTCTGGTAGGGTTTTCTACGTAAAGAGGTATCGAAATCCAGAGAAAAGTCATTGACCTTCATCTTTTTCGATGTTTATGACTCTTTTAATAATAATAA